GTTACTTCTAGGAGCTGAGAGTGACTTCAGCAAAGAGCTAGCAAGAAAACAAGGACCTCAGGTCTATAACTGCAAAAAATTAAATTCTGCCAATGACCTGAATAACGTTGGAGATAACCTTGAGCTCCAAATGAAGACCAGAGCATAGCCAACAACTTGATTTTAGCCTAGTAAAGATCTAAGCAGAGCACTCAGGTAGCTTGTGTCTATACTCTTAACCTGACACACAGAAACTATGAAATAATAGATTTGTGTTCTTTTAGGCTACTGAATTTGTTTCTTCAGGCAGCAAAATAGGCAGCAAATTAGATTGTTAGGTACCATTAGAAAACTAATACACTCAGTGGTCTCCCATGGCTAACCTATTTGAAATTGCACTCTGTTTTGCACTCTCTATCCCCTTTATTTTCCCCATTATATTTTTCATGACACTAATTTATTTTCTTTATTGTCTTCCACCAAATGGAATGTAAGCTCCACAAAAGCAAAATTTGTATCTGCCTTACTCACTATTTTCTTCAACTACAGATCCTAGCATGTAGTAGAAGTTCAATAAATAGTTGTTGAACAAATGAAGAAAATTATTATTTCATACATAAATAAAAGACATAACAGTATTTCCTCCAAAATAAACAAATTAAATATGCATATAATTTATAAAACTAGTATCCAAAAACTTAGCTAAATTTGAAATTCAGTTAATAAAACATAAATTAATATTTAACTTATCTCTAGATATGTAAAGTATTAGTATTAAAAGTAAATGAAAAAAACTTAAAAATTCATAAATTTGAATACTGTGAACAATAACAGAGTGGTAAATCTTTATTTTATGCTTACCACTTACCTGTTACTCTTCTAAGTATCTTCCTTATAAGTTCAATTCATTTTATCCTCATAAAAACATTGTGGGGTGAGTTAGCATTATCTCCATGATACACTTAGTGAAACTGAAGTACAGAGAGGTTTAATAATTTACACAAAGTCACAGAGCCAGAAAGTGATGAAATCAAATTCAAACCCAGGTAGTGTAACTCCAGAGCTTTTTAGGCACATGTTTTAAACTTTGAGGTTTTTAACCTCATTATGATTTCAACATCTGAATATACATAAAATGTATATTTGTCAACAACCAAAATATTATAGACTGAAAAGATCAATAAAAAACTGTAAAATATATTTGAGCCAGATGACAAAGGGTTAATATTCTTATCTGCAAAAGCCCTTAAAAATTAATAAGAAAAGCACAATATCCTGAGGAGGGGTCAAGATGGCAGAGTAGGCAGTTCCTGGTATTGCTCTCTCCCACAGAGCGACCAATTTTCAGCTTCTGAGGAGCAGTGACAGAGGACCCGAAATCTGTGCTGGAATGAACAGGAGCCACCTGCCACAGGACCCCCGTTCAGGTTGCTCCCCATTTCAAAGAGAGACTTTAGAGTTTTTGGGCCCACACACTCCAAGCGTGCTGGCCAGAGAAGGCAAGCAGGGCCAGGGTGGGACTTCTGGTGCAGGCTGTCCCATCTCCATGAACGACCTGAGAGGCTCTGGGCTCCCAAGCCCTGAGCCAGACAAACTGGTGAACACAGGTGTGGCGGGACTTCTGGTGCAGGCCATCAATCTCTGTGAGTGACCTGAGAGGCATGGGCTCCCAAGCCCAGAGCATGACAAGCCCATGAAGGCAGGTGGGGCGGGACTTCCAGCCCAGGACATCTGTCTCCATGAGTGACTTGAGAGGCTCTGGACTCCCACAGCCCCCTGATCAGCCAGTAAAGGCAGACAGGACAGGACTTTCAGTCCAGGCTAGGTTTTGCTGTCCAGAAACAGCAGTCCCTTCAGGATCCAAGCCAGACATCACAGTAAACTAGTGAACATTGACACCCCCGTCCACAATGACAAAACAACAAAGGAAAGAAACCAGAAATATGAAAAGTCAAGAAAGTACATCACCACCAAAGGAAATTAATAACTTACAAGTGCTAAATCCTATAGAACAGGAAGTCTTTGAAATGACAGACAAGGAATTTAGAGTAACTATTCTAANATATACCTTTATGGAGCCTCTTTTAAATCTCCTCCTTGATTATAACATACCTGGATTGTTAGAATCAAAATTTCCCCTTATTGTCAAACCACAGTCCATCAACCATTAGTAGTTGGTAAGTAACTTAGCAAGTCCATCCAGTAAGTTTCTAAATAGAATACAATAGAAAATATCAGAGTGCATCATGGGTAGTAAGGGTATAATTTCAGAAAATTTTGTTTCAGTTGCATATGGATGTGTATGTAGATACTGTATATGTATTTGTGACCTGGCTCATAACAAAAACTATGTTTTTTAGTATGGGTTGAGGAAAGAGCATTCTGAAAACCACCACTCTGAAACAGATAAAACATTAGGAACTTAACCCAAGTTGAAATTACTTTACCCAAGTGGCTACTGTGTTGCTTGGCAGGACTGAACAATTCACAGGCAGTCTTCAATGAAGGAAGCCTGAAAGAAAAGAAAATGAGGGTTGGATGGGTATTGCCTGCCAACTCAGGAGGGAGGCTGCAGTGGGAACATGGAGCAATCACAAAGCAGCACGAATTGCTGAGCACTTGAACTGAGGAAGCTAAAAGTGTCACACAGAGAAATAGTGATTGGTGTTAACAGTAAATTTCAACTATGTATATTTTAAAACCTTGTC